GTTTGTTTAATTCTTTTTTTAGATAAATTCTGTAAAACTGAGCCTCATATGCTCAAATGGGTTACCTTACCTGCTTTTTAAATAGAATTTTATATACAAAAATATTTATGAATTAGTTTTACTCGTTATTTATGTTGTGATAGTAAAATGTACTTATTGCTTAATGTTGGAGTGACTGCAGAGCTGAAACGAAGATGGATTTAAACCAGGGCTCTCAAGTTTAAAAGCTGAGCTTGGAGTGAGATTTTGAGCAACTGACCACTGTTGCCAACTCCTCAGTAAGAAGAGTTAGTATTGGCTGTACTTAAAGCCATGAAAGACATCGCCTGATTTGCACGTTTGGACATTTGTCAATAATTGTGCTGTAGGAGAGATGCATCTCTATAATGAAGAGACTGTATTGATGCTCAAATTACTGAATCGATACTTCCAGCACATTGCTTTGTTCCATAAATACATGCTGCACCGGCGTAGCAGCTGACCAGGCAGGCTTAAATGTAAACAGTGAACTAAACAAGCATGTCAGATAACTTTTGAATACATCACCATTTAAAGCCAAAATCATTCAGTGTCAAACTTTAAGAGTTTRATCACTTTAAGCTRGAGGAATAATCACATGGCATTAAATCTGAAAATTACAATTTGTGAACTTGGTTGTCTCTACTTGAACATTAAAACCCACATGATCAGTAATAATACAGGTAAACTAGGCAAATCAAATTAAAACCACACATAAATTCATATTTGATCAATAAATGCATTGACCAAAGCAGAATTATGTCATAATCTACTGTAGTTTCAAATTGAACAAATTTAGTTAATCTAAATCAACAAAACTATTTCTTATAATTATGTGTAAGATTCTGATTTGCAATTAACTACAAACATTTGTCAGTTTTACAGAAAGAACATTGCGAGTATTGGGCAAAAAATAAGAGGTTAAATGAAGACACACCTTTGCTCTATCATTGGTCATACAAATATATTTTAGTGATAATATTGTTTTATTCCAAAAACTAAAGCAGAAGAAAAAGCTAATCAAAATAAAAACATTTAGTGCGCACCGCGCTCCTGCACCAGCTGATCAAATTTAGACCTGTCTTGTTTTCTACTACAATGATGTCATTGATGTTGTCTCAGTGACCTGGGTCAGTGATTTACAGGTGATCACCAGACTTGTCTCCCCTCCCTGGTCCTCTCTGTTCCTCCTGCACTCCTCCACTTATCTGCTCCTCTCCAGCTAATGTAGCATCCACCAGTGTGAGCCACGCCTCCTCCTCAGGAAGTTTTGAGGCATCTTCTGCAGGTTCATCTGTTCAGACAGCTGGTTCAGAAAGTTCTGCCAGCTTCGGTGGCTTCATATTCTTATTGAAATTAATTCTGACAAATACAGTTTATTCACTTTAATGAACACTGCTCACAAACTTCTTCCCGACCTGACATGTTTGCAGCTGTCAGTCAGTCATCACTGTACATGCCCCAAAACTAACAATACACATCCTGATTGGTCAGACGTGGAATACTATTTGTATGAACCAATCAGTGGCCAGAAATGCATCCGTAATAACTGATAGGAGTTAACTATAGACTTGAATAAAAACACTAGACTGAGTCCCGCCCATACGGTCCACTGGTAGCATCTGTGACAGCTTGGAGGAGCAGAAACAGACCAAAGAGGACAACAGCTCACAGCCTCCATAGAAACTAATAGATAAACAGCAGCTGAACCAGATCTGTTTCACAGATTATCTGACATGTTTTTACAATAAATTAATGACTGTGTTAATTTCATTCAACAATCATGTAAAACAGCAGATTTATACCAGAAAAATACATAATTTACAAGTAACAACGATCTAAAACAGACCTGAAGTCTGCCTGTAACTTAGACTTTAGCTAGTTGACAAATGATGACTTCAGCTAGTAATAAAGTGTATTTATTATTTCTTCTGTCGTAAAAAATAAGAATGATAAAAATTTACCAGTCAACAGTTAGAAAATGTTCTCTGGTTATAGGAGGAAACTTGTCTCTATAGCTAACATCTTCTTAACAGGTCAGGTTCCTCTAACAGAAACCTAAAAAACTCACATTTATAATATTATTTTACACTCTGTAGGTCTAAATATTAATCAGAGGACAAATCAGCTGTAAAATTTAATAGTTTGTGTTAAATTGTAGCATGATTCAACAGTGCTTCACTCTATAAATGCTCCACAAGCTAACATCTGTTAACCAGTTCAATAAATAACAGTGATTACATCGATTTAATAAGATTGTTTTAATTTTAACTGTTACATTATGTTCTGCTCAGATCACATTGAGCTCAAATCTGCTGACTTGTGTTGTGAAACGAGACGTTTTCCTGCTTCTCTTTTGTTAATAAATCTATAACACAAACAGCTTTTCTGACATTTTTTAAAAGTTAAATAGATTATATAAACTGTGAAATATTAATAATAATTGGGTTAATATTATTATAAATAGTTTTAATGATTTCTACATTGTCAGTCCTTTTTTTATGCTCTGTCATCAACATATACAGTAATGGGAAATCCAGACTCTTGACCATTTAGAATTAGCCGTTAGCTTCACCAGCCGATCACACGGTCAGGTGGTTTCTGAGCACTCCAGTCATTCTATTGAACCTCCTTGGAGTTAACTCAGCTCTGAACGCACCACAGGGATAAAAACAAACAAAAGATTTTGTAAAAAACAGCTGGACATTTTCTCATTTCCCCCAGCTGCTCACAGGCCACTCCTCGCTTTATTTTTCAGCATGAGGAATGTCATGTGTGTGCATGTGAAGACAGGAAAATGTGTGCGTCTCACGCTCACTGCGTGAGGCTTGAGAGCTCTGTATAAACTCTTCTTGGTGTATTTTACCAAACAGGAACCCATCCAGACCACAATGCATGGCAAATGGTAAATGGACTGAACTTATATAGCACTTTATCAAGCTCCATGGGGACCCCAAAGCACTTTACACTGTCATTCACCCATCCAAACACACATTCACACATTGATGTTTGTAAGCTACAGTCACATCTGCCCTGGAACACACTGACAGAGGCAGGGCTGCCATGTACCACAGGACCACAGGACAGGTACCACAATACAAAATACAGACTTTGAGCACGAGCTTTAATAAAAAGGTTAAGTCAGTTAAAGTTCTAAAGTTATCGTAGTTAATTCTGTTTTTGTTGTCAGCTCAGATTCTAACATTAATTAATAGTTTTCCAGCTGTTGTTAGAAACGCTCATGCAAGTTTTTATTTTCCGTGTCTGTATTTGAATTCCCTCACAGATAGGGGCTTCCTTGATGTCCAGCAACGTCGGCAGTGGTCTGTTCATTGGACTTGCAGGAACAGGAGCAGCAGGAGGCATTGCTGTTGGAGGATTTGAATGGAATGTAAGAAACATATTTTATATTCATATATGTGTAAGAKTGAACTAATATGACAAGATCTGATAATCACAGTCTGCTCAAAAAAGTTAAAACAACGCAACTTAAATTCTGAAGTTGAAAATGTTTCACCTCCCATTCATGGAACTTTCTATATTCAGACCTGGAGAGTGTGGAGTTCCAAGCTCATATGCTGTTTAAGGAAGCTCAGTTTTGTAACGTAGGTTCACATGCAGATTAAACTCTACACCTCTCACACTGGAGAGTTGGTAGAGTCTTTATGTGACTGAATTTTGAGCAGCCAGAGGCAGCATAAATACAGACTGGTGTGTGCAGTCATTTTGCAACAGAGTGAGACTCCCAATGTTTAATAATGTGTGTGTGTGTGTGTGTGTGTGTGTGTGTGTGTGTGTGTGTGTGTGTGTG